CCGATATTACGGCCCCAAGTGTAAGGTAAGAACAGACGAGAGCAGAACTGAATGTAGATTTGCCAGGACGGGTTTACGGTACGAAATCCCGTCTTCCAGCGCAGCATCCGACCACTGGTGACTAGATCCTGAGCCAGACGGGTCCCTAGCCTGAGGTATTTAGATTGCTCTTATTTTTATTTTATTTTTTGGTAAAATATGTTAAACAATCACTACAAAGGAAGGTGAACTTTTTTAATGAAGTAGGTAAATTCTCCAGCTGAGAACGGATTTGTCACCTGAGCTTTTCTTTACTGCGGTTGCACCTGTGGGAGGGGAGCAAGGAGGATGGTCAGGTCTCTCCTGGAGAGCACTCGACACAGCTCTGCTCTTCACCGCATTACCAAGCACTTGGTTAAATGTGGAAGTCATCCGGTGAGGTGTTCATTGCAGGCCAAAAACCAGACTCCCACCCTTGGCCCCCCAGCAGTTTCCCGCCAAGGCCCGGCCCATGACCCCGCCCAGCCCCTATTGCTAGGCAACGCGGCGTCCCGGGAAGCGGTCGTCCGCTTCCGAGGCGGGGCAGAGATGTACTTCCGGGGCGGGGAGCCCTTTCCCCCCTCCCCAAGATGGCGGCGCCCGTGTCCCTGCTGGTGGAGTTCGGGTGAGGAGGGTGGTCGGGAGGGCCTGGGCCGTGGCTGGTGCCCGGCTCTGAAGGGAGCAGGGGCCAAGGGGTGTGGGGGCTCCTCAGACACGGGCTCCTATGGGCTAGGGCCGGGGTGGGGGTGGCTGAGTGTTTCAGCGAGGAAGCCACGATGCCATTAGAAGGGGTGGCAGGGGAGGGGTGACTCGTGGTGCCTAATGAGGGCCCACCTGCGTTTTCGGGATGAGCGTGGCTGCATTTTAACCGGCACGCAGCCATGAGCGGTTCTGGGACACTGTGGGGGCATGGCAGAGCTACGTACTAGTCGTACCCATGTCAAGGACAGATTGTGGCTCCCCGTGATTGGAGGCCTGGTGAAGAACGTCTTGCGTTTGGAAGCACGTCAGTCTCCAACCCAACGATGTTGTTGGTCCGATAAAGGACATCCCCCTTAGACATTCCTGCCAGAGGCAAAAGGCACATTTGGGCAGCAGTTCTCCAGCTTGGCCACAATCTTGTGTTGTGTTATAATGCACCAAAGCCTTGGTGAGGAGGCAGGGCTGCTTGAGCTACGTACCACAAAAGAGGATAAAAAGTGAATAGTTTGTTCAGAGGAATGTGCAAGTTGGTTTTTTATAAGTCTCAGCAAGGGTTAACACTGGTATTTTGGGCTTTTGGGACTCTGGCTTTTCCTTCTGTATTAATGACAAGCCTGTGTTGCTTGCCACTGTCTACCTCCCACTGGATTTGATAGGCTCTTATGTGGAATAGAGTTTGTACTGTTCACGTTGTCCCTCTTGTGATTGGCTGTGGTCTGTTCCCAGTGAGAGTGGACACGGTTTAATGGGAAGTAGGCACTGGCTGGTACAACTGTGGTCTTAGTTCAGTAGACTGGTGCAGTTGATCCAGTAGCTTTTTGTTGAACATTGTTCTTGTAGATATTGTTCTGCAAGTGCCTAATGCATGTCTTTATATGCTGCCTCTATATGTGCTAACAGGTAGAACTGTCCATTCAATCTTCTCTTAGAGAAGAATACTTTTCTTAACTTATCAAACATTGCCCAAGAGGTTGGTTTTACTGATGGATTAACCCACTGCAACTGTGGAAAAAAGAAACTTTATAAACAATTTCTTGTCTCTGCACATCACTGTAGATTATTAAAACATTTTTAACCATTGAATTAATTTTCAGTGTATAAATGGTGTTTACTTCTTACAGTTATTTCAGCTCAGATGGTGTCAACTATAAAGTCCTTTTTGCTTTTCTTTTTGAATATTTTGTTTTCAGGTTCTTATTGCTGTGATGCCTGGGTTGCTAACCCTAAAGACATTGGAATTTTTTTTTTAATTTAAGCTAGAAATCCAAAAAACATTTGTGGAAACATTTGGATTGGTTTCATACTTTATTCAAGTTGTTTTTTCTCTTACAGAAGCTAAAAGGCTGCTTTTTCCTTGATATTTTTTTCCTCTCCAACCTCATATAAATACACGTCATAACCCTTTAAATGCCCTTTTCCTCAGTCTACCCTGCTTCCAGCTGCAGTAGCTCTCCTCGTTTTCCCAGAAGAGTAAGAAGCATTTTTGCTTGTCTTGGAAATGCATAAATGAGCTCTCTATGTGCAATCACAGCTGAGTTCTCTACAGTTAGCGCCTTACAGAAGGACCTTATCTAGTCATCTACATTCCTGCAGTAACAAAGCGTGACCTTGTTTTCATTATATAAAAAATGTTTTTTATATAATTACTGTGACTTTTTCTTTTGCATGAATCTCGGCTAAAGTTGATAATTGCTGCTTCAATTTTCAGATAACTATTTTTTGTGAGCTGGTGGAAGAACACCAACAGAGTGGCCTTTAGGAGAGATGCTGTATATAAGTAACTGCTGAGAACATAACAAAGGTTCCATTGTGCTTTTCTGTTGCAGAGCCAAGGAAATCCTAGTGTGACATTTTTAGATACTGGTTTTAAAGGGATTAAGTAACACGTAGGCTCATTATTTTCCATAACATGTAGATATTTGCTGCTTTTATTATGTCTTTTCATTGAGGCAGTTTTCAACTTTGTAAGAAATGGTACCAATAATATATAAGAACAGTAGAAGTAAATATTTATTTAACATTCTGTTTTTAAGTCAGTGGAACTTTGCAGTTATTGAATGTACTGTATTTGCACGGGGTTTGGTCACATCTTTGAACCAACAAAGTGTCCATCATCTAATATCTTCACGGCTTTAAATTGAAGGAGTGTAAGCTTCTGGCAGCAACTATAGTTCAGGCCCAACTAGATGTCTGAAGTTAGTAATCAAATAAAGATGTTAGGGGTCTATCTAGTTCAATTTCTTGGGAAAGATGAGCCACCAATAGCTCCTACCAGCCTTGAGGAAGCTGCTGATTGCTCTGCATTTCTGAACATTAAATGTATAGCCTCCTGAATAAATATTTGGGCATTGTTTTTAAAAATGATGGCCTTGCTGTGTAAATGTGTGTACTGTCCTGTATGGTAATTGCATAATCCAAATTGTTTAAAGCACTGTTAAATCAATAAAACCTCAAACACTTTTGTGAGTAAGTAAATTATCTGCTCCTTTTATGCAAGGGGAGCCTGAGTTACAGAGTGGTGAAGTGAGTTGTCCACAGCCATACAAAATATTAACAGAAGCTCTGGAAATAGTACTGGTCTATTTCTATAATCATTTGCTAAGATTTTATAACCTTTTCCATAAAAAAATGGGGGTAGCTTACAGATTTATAACATCAAGAAGAGAAATGATCTGTGTTTGTAAAGTGTAGGTCTGTAGGACTCATCCTTTAAGGATGAGGAGTGGATTTCATAGAAGGGACCTCAACAGATCATTTAGTCTGACACCCTGCCTTGGCAGGAAAGGGTGCTGGGATCAGATGCCAGCAGCCAGGTGCTTATCTGGCTGAGGGGAGGAGGGGTCTGTGTGTGTGGATGCATGTCTTATTGTGAGGAAATCTGAGTCACAGATGAGAAATTTCCAATTGGCCTGGGCTTTTCAAAAGAGCCTAAAGGAGTTAGGTACCCTCACCCCATAGAAATCCTCATGTTTCTAAAGCAATTATAATCTTAGACTAGCTTCTAAGAAAATTTTGTCTCCTGCATTTACAAGCCTCTGCTTATTGGTCAACATTGTTACTCTCCTGGAGGATGGTAGTTGTCATGAGCAGTTATTTGTACTTTCAGAGAGAACTGATTTGTGCCCTAGCTAAGGCCAGTCCTTTGGTAAGCATTGCGTGTCCAGATAGATACTCTGAACTGGTCTTTTCAGTAGGGAGCCAGTGCAGGGCATAAACATATGTTATATCCTGGTTAGCTCAACTTGTGTCCAGAACCCTTGATTCTGCCTGCTGCTTACACTGTGCTCGAGTCTGCTAAAATGAACGTGTGGGAGGAGTGCTGAGCAGTTAGGCCATGGAGGTTTTGTTCCAGTTCCAAGGTTCTGTTCTTGTCTCCATTTTTGACTTGCTGTTTGACTTAGCCTGGCTCATTTCCTCCCTCCCTTTCTGGTTGTTAACTGAGAATAATACCTATTCCATGGTTTCTTTTTCAGACTTAAAGTTGGTCTGGCATTTTGAGACCTTTTGCTGAAAGATGTTATATGGCAAGGTACCAGAGACAGCATTTGGGGCAAAAATGTTATTCTAATTGCACTAGTGTTGGGGGGAGGGGGGGGACTTTGCCTTGATGTTATCCTGGTTATGTAGGGGCCTGCACCAACAGTTTGTAAGCTCTCTGGGACAAAAATATCTTCTGTTGGTATAGTGCCTGGTTTAGGGGAATCCCAGCCCCCATCTTTTTAATACAGAAAAAGAAAAAATGAAGAATTGTAGTAACAGACCATTACTGCCCCAAGAAGATTATGGTTTAGGTAAACCAGATGTCCAATGGGTCATATTCCAAATATAATCACTACCATTTTTTATTTTTTCTGTATTTTAGTTGAATAAATCAGTTTTTTTGTTACTTGTTTCACTTGCAGATGAAACGGACTGAATTTTTTTCTTTTCTTTCAGAGGTGGTGCAGAACTCTTGTTTGATGGCATTAAGAAACATCAGGTGACTTTGCCTTGTCAGCAAGAGCCTTGTGAGTACTAGTGGTTTTCAAATAAGTTGAAAAAAGGACAGCAAATGAAATGCATGTGAAAAACAAAGCCAGTTTATATGGCCATTATTTAGTTTACAACTAAAATCAATGTGTTTTCAGACAATTTCAGCCATACTATTGATTAGTTAGCTTGGCAGACAGTAGTTAACCTGCAGAGTAAATACAAAGCATAAATAAGCTGAGCACCTTTCTCATCCTTTAAGCAACCACAGAGTAGCTTCACTGCTGCAGAGATTTTTTTGCTTTCCACCTGCAGAATGCTAATCATCCATGGCCTCCAAATATTTTCACGAAGTCCCTATTCACTTTCATTGGTCCACAAAGGTGCCCATTAGCTGTTTTTTCTCTGTGGATTCCCATATGGGGACTGGGATATATGCTCACATCACAGTGTATTTTTATTGTCTTTATATTAATTTAGAACACTTGATTAGACTTAAACCTCACAGTCCAGAATGTCAGAGCTAGAGCTTGAAAATTGAGTGGACCTTGGGGGTAAAATATACTCTCTTTAGTTCTGCATATATAATAATAAAAAAAAATATGCTTGTGCATGGAAGGTTTCTGATTGTTCCAGTGGTATTCAATATTAATTTCTGTCCTTATAAATGCATGGTAACAACAGTGAAAAATGCATCATTCTGATTACTATTTTGCTTGGCCCCACGCCTGAGGAAACCTTCATTGCAATATGTTGGCACAGATGTAGCTTGAATTTTTTGTTAGATTAATGCCTTTTACTGTTTGAAAGCTGGAATTATAAGCTTTGAAATGATGTAAGATATCAGTGAACTTGAGCCATTCATGAGAGACTGGTTGCTAATATCTAAATCTATATGCTGTCCATATTAAGACTGTAAATCCTCCTGCTGTTTTTGAGAGTGCTTAAAGGCAAGTATAAATGCTTCCCAGACAAATAAACTCTTGATCCCTGGATATAAACAACATATAAATAAAATGATAATGGGAGTTTTGAGAAGAGGCATGATCTTATGATTAAAGATATGGGACGGGCACACTGGAGAATAGATTCTGTTCTTTGTTTTGACACTGATTCACTTTGTGACCACAAGCATATCATGTAGCATTTCTTGTCTTGCTGCTAGAATGGGGCTAATGTTTCTGTACCTTGCAGGAGGGTTTAGTAGTTAAATTCTAAGGCTGATCAAGTTAAATCCTTACATGAAAAGTACTAAAAGGTAAAATTCCAATTTATTTTTAGCTGCAGTACTGTGTTCTTTGGGTGCTGTGGAAGCCTCAAATATCTGTTCACCATGTAGCACATTACCAGTATTTGTACAATAAGCAAGTGTTGGGATTAAAGGAATTAAAATTGCATAGTATGCATTATATCTGTGTATTATATATAACATGACGCATATACCCAGTGGGCACAAGAATGTAATGAATACTGAAACATTTTCTGTAGCCGATAGTGGTAGAATATAAAATGTATGAAGTGTCCAGTCCAGTTCCTGTTGAAGTTCTTGGGACAATTTCATTAATGTCAGTGGGATTTGGCCTGAAAAATAACTTTCCTGAAGATCTTCTGTTCTCAGGTGCTCATGATATAAGGTCCTGTAGCTCAGGTGTGCAGAAGTTTTGTTGGTAATATAGGCATGGAAATCCAAAGGAGAACCGCATAAAGAATACATTCTGTAAACTCATTTGATTTACAGTGTGACCAGTGCCAACTGCCTTCCTTATTGGTTATGAAAATACTAATGCAGCTGTCTGTGGACAGATAAAAATGTACCTGGCAGTCTGATATGCTAGTCTTCACACAGGAAACATTCTCATTAATGTCAGTGGAAGTTTTCATTGAGTAAGGACAGCAGGACTGGGCCTTTTGCGTTTAAAGAAACAAGCAGCTCACCCATGTTCAGTGTTTTTTGTCTTCTTGCTTCCTTTATACTGTATGTTCATCTCCTTATACATTGAAGGGAAACAGCAATATGAACTCTAGAACAAAATGCAAACAATTATAATCCTATTGAACTGCTTTCATCAGGTACCAAGATTATTTTTGACCATTCGGGTCTCCCTTATCCACTCTTCTTTTCCCCTTGGGTTATTTTTTCTCTTTGTCCGCTTTCTGCAGATCAGCTGCTTCTCTGGGATGTTGGGCCCAGCTATATTTTACTGATTTAGACTTTTGGTATATTACATAGGTGCAGTAGGATGGGAAGCTTGATAAACAAACACATAACCACATTTAAGGGAGGAAAATAGCCTGTGATCTGTATTTGTCTT